TTTTTTTTCAGGCGAGTGAGGCCAGGGATCGAGGCGGGAATGCATGCTGAATCTTAATGCCACAGAGGAGTGTCCCGGGGCGTCTAGGAGTCTGTGCATAATTTTGTTTAGATTTGTCATGCATTGTTTTGTAAACCGCTTACTTACTATTCATATTTGAACACCTTGTTTTGGATTTTAAACCTCCTTCATAATTGTTAAAGTTTCTTTTTGTGAAATCTCGTTTCTCTATTGGTTCTTACACGATTTCATTGCATAGTCTGTTGGTCCGGCTCTTAATTTCGAGATTCAAATTTTGGGCTGTGACAGTTTGGTATCAGAGCCTTGTTTTAAGGTCCTGTAGACATTAGGTTGTAGAGTCTTGTATCTCTGTGGCTTAAGTTTCGACACGCTCCGCCGCGACCTGGTAAGTTCTCTGATAACTGAGAAATAGGAAGACTTGAGTTATATGCTATTGGATCTAAGACGAGGATTAAAATATTAAGGATGTGCTTCTTTGAATTAGGCACAATGAGAACGCATTTTTGACTCACTCCCCTCTGTTGTCAGATAATGGCGCCTAAGAGAGGAGGAGATTACCTTGGGCCTGGTCCTAGGAGGGGCAGGAGAAGGGTCGAAGAAGACCCAAATCTTCATTTCCTCGAGATGGAGCAACACCCACCTCTAGAGGAGAACCCAGAACTGACCTCGGATGAGGAACAAACGCCGCCACCGGCGCCCTTGCCGAGGCGAGCTAGAAGGAAGGCCGAGCCTCGAGTTATTCTTGAGACTGCTCCTCAGGATTAGGAACCTGAAGAAGCTCCACCAGCGCCAGCACCGATTCCTGTGGTGCCTGCTCAGTCGACGACGACAGTTTCAAGGGATGAGTTTCAGGCTTTCATGAGAGCCACCATGGAGACTCAGGCACAGATGGCTCAGATAATGCAAACTCTAGCGACAAACCAGACCACTGTGCAGGGGACGAGTGATCCGGGCACGACTATAGAGTCCCGTTATTTGAAGGACTTTCAGAGGTATAAACCGCCCACTTTCGACAGGGGTAAGATGGACCCAGTTGCAGCTGAGGTTTGGCTGGAGGCTGTAGAGACAGCTTTTATATACATGAATTGTCCTCCTGAATATCAAGTCCATTGTGGGACTTACATGCTGAAGGGCGAAGCCCATTTTTGGTGGAAAGGTGCACAGAGGGCCATTACACCAGAGGAAGGGTATATTTCTTGGAACCAGTTCAAGGAAGCCTATCTGTGTAAATATTACCCAGTGGTTGCCCGACACAAGTGTCAGACAGCATTCCTAGAATTGAAACAGGGGGACAAAACTGTTGAGGATTATGATCTGGAGTTTAATAAACTGGCAAGGTTCTGCCCTGAGTATGTCAGTAACGAGAAGATGAAAATTGATCGTTTTATCGCTGGTCTCCGGATAGAGCTTCAGGGTCCAGTTTTGGTACAAACAACTTCAGATTATGCTGTAGCCTTGAGAGTGGCAACAGTGATGGATATGCCATGGCAGGTGGCAAAGCAAAATGTGCCAGTGGTGACCACTCAGAATGCCTTTGGCCAACGAAGAAGGCCTAACAGAAACTCTTTTAGATCTGACAGACAGCCGCGAGGACGTTTTGAACGTCGGGGTAGAGCCCCAGAGTATAACAGACCTGAATGCCCTAATTGTAAGAAATATCACGAGGGAGAGTGTTTTGCTGGAACAGGAGGATGCTTTGGTTGTGGCAAGCCAGGCCATCGCATAGCTGACTGCCCTCATAAGAGAAATCATGAGGGAAACAGACCTGTTGGACAGTATCAGAGGGGTCGTGGAGCCACACAGCAAGCTCGAGCTGTGGTCCACGCTATCACGACTAGGAAAGCAGAAGAGACTGACGCAGTGGTGACAGGTACACTACCTATCCTTGATCACCTAGCATTTACGTTATTTGATTCAGGTACTACCCACTCATTTATTTCTGAGGGGTTTGTGAAATCTGCAAACCTAGAACTAGAATCCCTAGAGATTCCTCTTACTGTGTCTACACCAGCAAATGAAGCAACTAAATGCTTGACTGCTACCCATAGGGTTAAGGGTGGTAGTGTGATAGTTGCAGGGCGAAAACTTGTAGCATCCTTGATTGTTTTGTGTATGCAAGACTTCGACGTGATCCTAGGGATGGATTGGTTGGGCGAGAATCGAGCCCTCATCGATTGCGAAGCAAGAAAGGTAACCTTTAGGCCCCTGATAGGAGAGAACTTTGAATTCAAAGGGGATATATCCAGAAGCACCCCTAGGGTCATCACAGCGTTGAAGGCTAGAAAAATGTTGAATCAGGGAGCCTGGGCAATTCTGGCTAGTGTGACAAAAGTCAATAAGACCAGTCTAAAGGTATCCTCTGTTCCTGTGGTTGGGGAATTTGAGGATGTATTTCCAGAAGAGCTCCCAGGGTTGCCCCCTAATCGAGAGGTAGATTTTGTTATTGACCTCGAACCAGGGACAACACCGATATCCAAAGTGCCATATAGAATGGCACCTGCAGAGCTTAAGGAGCTAAAGATACAGTTACAAGAACTTTTGGACAAGGGATTCATACGGCCTAGCGTCTCACCTTGGGGAGCCCCGGTGCTATTTGTTAAGAAGAAAGATGGAACTATGCGATTATGTATAGATTATAGAGAATTAAACAAAGTCACAATCAAGAATAAATATCCTCTCCCAAGGATAGATGACCTGTTTGACCAATTGCAGGGTGCAACGGTGTTCTCTAAGATCGATCTGCGATCAGGGTATCACCAGATGAGAATCCGAGAGGAAGACATACCTAAAACAGCTTTTAGAAGTCGCTATGGACATTATGAGTTCATAGTCATGTCTTTTGGATTAACCAACGCTCCTGCAGTGTTTATGGAGTTGATGAACCGAGTGTTTAAGGAATTCTTAGACACCTTCGTGATTGTGTTCATTGACGACATCTTGGTGTATTCTAAGTCTGAAATGGAGCACGAGGGACACCTGAGGAGGGTATTAACTCTACTGAGAAACCATAAGTTGTACGCCAAATTTTCGAAGTGCGAATTTTGGCTGCAGGAAGTGGCTTTTCTTGGACACGTGGTATCCAGTCAGGGGGTAACTGTGGATCCAGCTAAGATTGAAGCAGTCTTGAAATAGCCTAGACCAACCACGGTCACTGAAGTAAGGAGTTTTCTGGGTCTAGCAGGCTACTATAGAAGGTTTGTAAAAGATTTCTAAAAAATGTCTGCAGCGTTGACACAATTAACCAAGAAGGGAAAACCTTTTATCTGGACTCAAGAGTGTGAACAGAGTTTTCTAGAACTAAAGAAGAGGTTGGTCACTGCGCCTGTACTTACAGTGCCTGACGGATCAGGCGGACTTGTGGTGTACAGCGACGCTTCAGGAAAAGGGCTAGGTTGTGTACTCATGCAAAAGGGCAAAGTGATAGCCTACGCCTCTAGGCAGCTGAAAGAGTATGAGCGCAACTACCCCACCCACGATCTGGAACTAGCAGCCGTGGTTTATGCATTGAAAACCTGGCGTCACTACCTGTATGGAGAGAGAGTTCAAGTGTACACGGACCATAAGAGCCTCAAGTATTTGTTTACACAAAAAGAGCTCAACATGAGACAGCGGAGGTGGTTAGAACTAGTTAAGGACTATGACATTGAAATACTTTACCACCCTGGAAAAGCTAATGTAGTGGCGGACGCCTTGAGCAGAAAGACAGCCCACACATCTGCTCTGATCACGAGGCAGAAGTACCTACAGGATGAGATACAGAGGGCTGGAATAGAAGTCTTGGATAGGGGCATTACCGCTCAATTAGCGCAACTGTCGGTCCAACCCACCCTCAAGAGACGTATCATTGAAGCTCAGCGAACTGATACGCACCTCAGTAGGATCTGGGGTCAGCAAGAAACTGAGAGACCAAACGGATATTCAGTCTCTTCTGAAGGGGGTTTGATGTGGCAGGACCGATTATGCGTACCTCGGGATGAGAAGATCCTACAAGAAATCATGACTGAGGCACACAACACGTCCTACACGTTCCACCCTGGTAGTACTAAGATGTATCAAGATTTGAAGTGTAGTTATTGGTGGCCAGGAATGAAGAAGGATGTGGCTGAGTATGTGAGTCGGTGTTTGACCTGTCAGCAGGTAAAGGCCCCGAGACAGCGACCAGCAGGGTTGTTGCAACCGTTGAATATCCCGTAGTGGAAATGGGAGGAAATAAGCATGGATTTCATCGCGGGCCTACCAAAGACTCGACGAGGCTTTAATGTCATCTGGGTCATTGTGGACAGATTGACTAAAGTGGCCCACTTTATGCCCGGTAGAGCTACTTACCGAGTGGACCAGTGGGCCCGGTTGTATGTTAAGGAGATAATCCGCTTGCATGGCGTGCCGGTGAACATTGTGTCTGACAGGGATGCTAAGTTTACTTCTAACTTCTGGAAGGGGTTACAGAAGGCGTTGGGAACGCAACTCAAGTTCACTACAGCTTTCCACCCTCAGACCGATGGGCAAACCGAGAGACTTAATCAGACCCTAGAGGATATGTTGAGAGCGTGTGTAATAGACTTTGCAGGTTGCTGGGACGAGCACCTGGCCCTCATGGAATTTGCCTACAACAATAGTTACCAGGCAACCATCCAGATGGCACCATTCGAAGCTCTATATGGGCGGAGGTGCAGGACCCCTATATTCTGGGAGGAGGTAGGCAGGAAACAGTTGTTGGGGCCGGAGTTGGTACAGACTACCAATGCAGCGGTACAGAAAATCAAACAGAGGATACTCTCTGCACAAAGTCGGCAGAAGAGTTATGCAGACTCTCGTAGGAAAGACCTCGAGTTTGCAGTGGGTGATCACGTCTTCCTGAAGGTAGCCCCCATGAGGGGAGTGCTAAG